GACAGGAAATCTGCATAAAGTATGGACTAGTTAATGACTATATAGCAACCTTGATCCATTAATTGTGACACATGTATCACACTCATGTAAAATGTTAACAGGGAAACCTGATATGGGGTACATGGGAACTCTGTACTATTTTGCAATAATTGCACAACTGTTCTAAAATAAAACGTTTATTTTAAAAAAGAAAAAGTGTTGCCATTTTGTTAAAAGGATATAGTAGTGAATTTTATTTTATTTTTTTCTTTGAAATAGGCCACCATAAAGTTGAATTACTCGTTCACCTCTCAGCTTTCTGCTCAGCATAGCCACAAAGTGCCCCCTTTCAAAATGCGCCTAAATTGTTTGAGCCATTACAAACCCTATTATGTGATTTTATGGCCTGCCATCGCACTGTCTCATGTCTAGGGGTACAGTTAAAAGACTACACCGAACTTTCAGGTTAAAAAGTTACATCAACAGGAAGTGTATTGGAGGTGCCAGTTGAAACACTACCGTCTGGGAGTGCCACCAGCAATGTGCTAGTTAGACAAAAGGATGTGTCCCTTTTTTGATAGGCCTCCAAAGGCTTCCGGGTGACAGATGTCAGTGTCTGTGAGGCCTGGTGTAATTCAATGCCTCTCAAACTGGAATAAGGAATTGTGGTTTCTGTGTTCATAAAGCTACAAAATACACATGTGGGTGCATTGTATTTGATAAGTCACTAAAATTGTTATTTTTGTGTTTAAACAACCATGGGTGTATTGTGGGAGAAATGAAGAAATTACCAAGCATTTCTAAAGTTCTATTTGAAATTGCTGGCAGTACCCTCAGGCTGTGGTCATAGCCCCCCTCCCCTGTTGGCATGGGTCCTACCAGGAAGCAGTATGAAAGGCACTGAACTTGGCGATAGAAGAACTTGATTTTGAATCTGTTTGAGTGAATTACCTGAGCCATAAATAGGCATACTAGTCATTCTGAAATTTTGTTGTAAAAACGGGATGAGATAATATAAGATGTTTAGCTCTTTAATAGCCTTTAATTCCCTCAAGTTCTGGCCTTCTCTTTCATACCTGGTTTAAGGGTTATAGCTCTTCAGGCTATAAACTCCCTTCCTGCTCCAGGTTTTTAAAGCCAGAAAGAGACCTTAGACATGGGCTCCCCTTTCTCATGGTGGGTATGGACTGGAGACCCGGCAGGCAATGGTCTTCCTGTTACCTCTCCTTTCCTCTACTCACCGTTGGCCAGGCTGACCCCCCAGGGCAATGATACTCAGCGACCAGACCAGCAGCAGCACCTGGGAGCTTGTTAGAAATGCAGAATCTTGGGCCTAGCCCCAGAGGTACTGAGTCAGAGTCTGCTTTCAACTGGACTCTCAGTGCGTCATGCATAGTCGAATTTGAGTGTGGTGGTCTGATGGCCTGCTTCAGGAGGGAGTGCAGCCATGGTTTATCAACAGGGCTCGTGCAGGTCCTTTCCAACGGTAAATTAC